CTCCCGGAGCTCTCACTTCTATAATGGAAATGCAATTTTCAATATCCGTTCCGTCAAACTCCTACAGTCTCTCTCTCTCTCTCTCTCTCTCTCTCTCTCTAAATATCAAAAATAAGTTAATTAATAATTATAATTTTATTTTCCAGTTGTGTTTCCAGGATGCACTTGAAAAAGTTACATGTAGCTAAATTATATTGTTTGAATAAAAATAAGCTCTTGGTAGTTCAACTATAATAATAAACTAAGTTAATTATTTAAACCACAATTGGGTTTTATTAATTTTTCTAAAATTGTATAAATTAAATATGAGAAAGTGAATAAAAGGTACCGTACTTTACAGTGTGCAAGTTTACCTGATCATTTTGAGGTACAAACATGTTCTTAATGTTTAGATAAAACTTTATAAAAAATATTAAATATGAAATTGAAGGCTAAAGTCGTCGGCAATCAATAGTTTATGTGAATTAGTGCACAGTTTTTCTCGCATTTGAAGTTCAATACACAATATGTATTAAATTCAATGTTTTATCAGATCATTGATAGGAGTCTTATTGGAAACGTATTCCTTTGAGTCCTTCAATACATATTTTTGTAGGATTTTAATCAAACAATTATTTTATTATTAGAAGTAATCATAAATAAATCATAACTCATTTCATTTTAAAGGATTTCTATTCAATAAAAGCTAATTCAATGTAATCCAAAACCTTTTAATTAAAACCATTTGTGGTATTAATGAGAAAACTTTTCTAGAAGTGATTTTAACAGTATATTATTTAAAGTAAAATAAATATAAATAAAAATTAATTTGATTTCTAATTATTTGTGTAATAATTAAATATTTTTTAGATGTAATTATTTGCACGAAATATATGAACAAACAAATAGTAGTTTAAAAAATTAATTTTTCTCATACAGGTATATATTTGTTACACAATTAGCATATTGTTAGTCACATCCCTGAGCCTTGACATACAATTTCGTTGAACATATTATTCGCACCAAACATCTGTTTGCTATCATATGAGTCAAATAAACTGTAAATTAAATTAGATTTAAATTAAAAGTTATACTAAAATTAATTATGCGACTAAACAGTAGTCTTAATGTAAATCTAATTATGGTTATAAAATTTGAGCATATATGCAAAATAAACAAATTCTACACATTTCCTTAATTAAATAAAATCAAAAACATTTTTCAAAATAACAATATAATATTATTTTTCATTTCACAGTTTAATCGGAAAATTATATCAGAAAATTAAATATAATTATAACGTGTAATATAATAACTGTGTGAATACAACACAAACACACCTATAATTAAAATGCTAGGCATACAGGTATAGCGTATACACACTCATTCACACCCACTTATAAAATCGATAATAAATATGTTAACAGGCACACACTTATTCGTCACTGGCATAACTAAATTAGGTCTTTTCACATTATATACACATACGGTATTTATTTTTTACATTTATATACCGTATACTCGTATATAACAATAATTTGATTGATCAGTGCATTCAAAAAAGCGACGACTTTAACAAACATATTCAACAACTTTTATGGTCATTGAAGGGCAATAAAAATATTATTCAAATATATTTTGCACTCAATTTCATAGTATTTTTTTATTTGATCCACAAATTTATTTTAATTATTCAATGTATTTAGCAAAAATAATAAAACCTTTTTACTCGTATTAGTAAACAATTACACAAATGTTAAAAATAATCAAATAAATGTCAATCTAAATACTTTTACTTATGCAATGTTTATTTATTACTCCACAGACTACCTGTGCGCGCTGTAACCCACTTGACTATAACGAGTGTACGGAGTTACCTATCGCTTAATGTATTGTATATATTAAATGCGATGAATAATTTGATTAACATTTCATTTGCGAATAAATCTCATTAAAAGTAAACTTTTTTAAGTATATAAAAAATATCATTTTGCACAAAAACAACAAACATTTATGCATATCATGTCAAGTAATCATAGCATTCAATACCGTACGGAACAGTCATAACATGTAATGTTGTTTCACTAATCATGCAATTTATAACTTCTATGACATCCCACACCACATCCCATCCCCACTACCTGTGCCTTAAATGTTAACCTTTTTGGTCGTTTCGATATAAAACTCTATTTTTTATACCACTTACTCATTCATTCATTTATTTAAATTCCCATTTCATTAATAAATACAAGTTTTTTGAATAAAGATTTAATAAACTATAACTACTAATATGTAACTTAATCCACAGTTTTAAAAGCTTATAATCATATTAAATTATAAACACAATGATATGCACTGTAAGGACAAACCACCCATTAATGTGTATTTAACACAACTAACCTATAGCTGGGAAAAGATTAATTACTGATTTTAAAAATTAATTAATTAATATCTGTGAAAATAGTAAGATTTTAAATGACTATTCACGTGATTGTGTGAATAAACATATTAATCAAAAATAATGATTAAAAATATTTATTTATTTTAAACACACAATAAAACTCTTCATACAATAAGAGATACATTATAAGAAAGTGTTCACACCATAGGAGCACTCACTTTAGGTGGTGTTCACCCGTCCCCCCGGACTATGAATGATACATCTGAATGAAAAAACATACAAAGATTTGAGATTTTTGTTATTTTTACTCAACTGGCGGTACGTTTTGTTTAATAAACACAGGAATAGCTAATAGGATTTTATTTGCATTTTACATTATAATTATGACATTCGCCCACAACTCACACACACATGTATTTTCTGTGGGAATACTTTCTATGCGTTTACTCTCACTATTGCTATTGAAATATCCAATTCTTATCATTTGTTTTCAGATATAAATTCCTCGTTAAGGATGAGACGAAGGCTTTCATGACTTCTTCATATTCATCGGCAGATATTTCTTAGGCTTCTGAGAACTCGACTGTAAGTAAGCGTAACACACATCCCAAAACATACAGCCACGGTAGGCGATGTATTGTCTGGTCAATATAAACCAATATAAAACATTTAACACATATGTAATATATTTCAAAAAAAAAAAGTTTTTACACAAATATTTCCCAATAATTGTGTGTTCAAATCAAAAGTGTCTATCTATTTGTTTTTGCTTTTTAATGCTGAGTGTATGTGTTGCCAATGAAGCTTATTTTTAGTCGGATACTAAAAATGGTAAATTGAATCAATAAATTAATTTTTAAATTTAATTTTAAGCTAACAAATAAAGCTATCAACTGTTCATATTACAAAAATTAACAATAAACATTTTTATAAATAACAGTCATTTGTATTGAAGATTTATCATACATTTTTTATAAAACTTTTATTTCTTACTTAAATTATTAAAAATATATTGCTTTTAATATATTTATTATATAAATATTAATTAATAACATAAACTATAGTTTAAGAATTAATTTAAAATTACAATTTTATAAATTATATTATAATTTAATTTGAAACACAATTTAGATCTCATATGTGGTGACAGTATTGTCTGTACTGATGGTGGGGTGGGTTCGCAGTGAAGACTAACTCTTGAGCTGACATTCATTCGCATTGTGTGTAGGGTTTTGTATGTCGGTGCCATCCGCTACATAACAGACCAGTTATATTTGGTTATATTTTGTAAATTGTGTATACATTATATAAAGTTTTTTTTAAAAGTTTTTACACAAATATTTCCCAATAATTGTGTGTTAAAATCAAAAGTGTCTATCTATTTGTTTTTGCTTTTTAATGCTGAGTGTATGTGTTGCCAATGAAGCTTGTTTTTAGTCGGATACTAAAAATGGTAAATTGAATCAATAAATTAATTTTTAAATTTAATTTTAAGCTAACAAATAAAACTATCAAATGTTCATATTACAAAATTAACAATAAACATTTTTATAAATAACAGTCATTTGTATTGAAGATTTATCATACATTTTTTTATAAAACTTTTATTTGTTACTTAAATTATTTAAATTATATTGCTTTTAATATATTTATTATATAAATATTAATTAATAACATAAATTATATATTAAGAATTAATTTAAAATTACAATTTTATAAATTATATTATAATTTAATTTGAAACACAATTTAGATCTCATATGTGGTGACAGTATTGTCTGTACTGATGGTGGGGTGGGTTCGCAGTGAAGACTACATTCACCAACCAATACAATATCACTCGCAGACAGACTCCGGTACTTATAATTACGGCTACGATACTGGACTATTTGGGGCCCACCAATTTCACCAGGAACATAAAGATGCTGCCGGTGAGGTTAGAGGTCGGTATGGGTATACAGATCCTAATGGGAAGTTAAGGCTCGTTCACTACAAGTCAGGGCCCAAAGGCTTTGAAATTATCAGCGATACTGAGAGTACCAACACTGAAAGACCCACCATCAGTACAGACAATACTGTCACCACATATGAGATCTAAATTGTGTTTCAAATTAAATTATAATATAATTTATAAAATTGTAATTTTAAATTAATTCTTAATATATAATTTATGTTATTAA